TTGTGAATTCTAAATGAAAACCCGTGCCTTTTGAACTTCTGCAATTCTACCATAGCTTGACGGTTGAACAACAAATTATGACCAACTAAAGCAGAAACAGACCCAATATAGTAAAGCAACACTTTAAAAAATGGAATTAAGGAGTATTTAATTTCGTTGAGTCAACATGCAATTAAATTATTGTTAAATTAAATAGAACAAGTACCTATATTTAATGTCCATCAAAAAATGACACAAAAGGGAGTTCAGTAATAAATCAAATTTTAATTATCAACATATATATATATATTTCATAAATTTATTCCCATTGTCAATAAATTATTTTCATACAAGTTATATGTCATTTAAGTTATATTTTTAAATTTCGTAAAATTAATGCTTCCTATATTTTCTTCAATTATTTCGAAAGTATCATAATCGATGTTAAATCATCTTACGAATATTTTAAGCATTTCAAATATTTTGAGAAATTGATTTTAATAAAAATCGATATGCAAAATCAATTGACGTAAATATACGAACTTTCGTACAATTTCTTTCTATGTAAATATATTTTATTAATAATATTTATTTATAACGCTGTCCATTACATATTGGGACTATCATGTGAACCCGTTCAAGAGCTCTGCCGATTTAATTACTGTAAGTAAACCTATATGTAACAATAAATGTCTACAGAAAGAACATCTGGAAAGCATTAAGTAAATGTTGCTCTGTATAATATATTGAAGAATATCAGATTAAAAGAACGTTATCCTATATGAAGAATATATTGTCGAAGAAGTATATGTGCGATCAGATTCATTCCACCTTATAGAGTATGTATTTCAGGTAGGCATAGGCGCTTGCTAGAGGGTGGTATCGTAATAGCGACTGCGCAATCAATCGAAATAGCGTGGATACACGCATGTATATGTATATGTACATAACTTGTATATACATATGGTGGGGACATCTCTTATAGACTCACTATCTCTGTCTCTCTTGATCTTTCTCTCGCGCGTACACCGTTCATTACTATAGTTTTCAGTGAGTCCGTGTGTACGAGACTTCTTACAATACTTAGTTGGTGCTTAGGCGGTGAACAGTCGCGAGTCGCGATATCACGGTATCGAGAAAGTATTGGCATCTGATGCATTGTTTCACTATTCGGTGAAAAAATCGCCTATGTGCTTTCATGTGAATGCACCCCGATTTTCTATTTTTCCATGATCCCCCGTACGGTTTCCAATATGTGTCAGTGAATGTTTATTACAAATTTACCAACTCTGCTGGCCATACCAAAAATGTCGAAACCCGGTGACAAACAAACCTACGCGCAGACATATAAACTAGTCGTCGTGGGTGGGGGTGGTGTTGGAAAATCTGCAATCACGATACAATTCATTCAAGTAAGTACTTTTTATAGCCAATAGGTGTACCCAATATGTATATATGTATGTAAATATGTGTTCGATATTATTGTGTACACATGTTATTATGTACACAGTTATGTACCCTTGACATGTAGCAGAACATAAGGATGTGTACATGTACGTGTGTATATGATGCTTTCTATTTTTTTTTTAATTTTTCTGTTGTGTATTTATTAAAACTTATGAATGAAATATCTGTTTTTAGAAGCCCGCGTCATGCGAGGTCGGTTCGAATAAAGTAATGAAAATCTTCTTCTCGTTTATTACATTGAAAACCTTCTGACCAATTTTAGAAACTCGCTCGAAGAACATTAAGAGCACGATGCTCTTAATACTGATTATGTCATACAATTACAGATTCGGCTATCTATATACATACAGTCGGTGTAGAAAGTATTCGTACAATAACCAATTTAATATCGGTATTTGTAGAATAGATTTAGGAAAAGAAACTTCTATTCCTATCACATTTGTAAAAGTATCAACAAAAACAGATATATAGAAAGTATTCATTCGGTCCAATATACATAGCACTGTGATTATTTATTCAGAAAAGAAATGTATCGATTTTTACTATAATTTTTCCTTTCTTTGTTTCTTTTTTTACAATCTTCTAAATTTACAGAGTTATTTTGTAACTGATTATGATCCAACCATTGAAGATTCTTATACAAAACAATGCGTCATCGACGATGTTCCTGCCAAACTTGATAGTGAGTATACTTAGAGAAACATGACATTGTACATAAATTATTACTTCAATCTTGTTTTCTCAACTAAGGTAACTTTTTATAACTTATTATATTTTATGTTGATTTTCATGCAGTACCATAATGAAACATGGGTTTGTTGTCGTAAGATTATAATTCCTTATTTATTAGAACCGAATACTTATTTAAAAACATTATGATGGTGAATTTTTATATGTTTGATATACTGCTTATAAATATATACATAAGAATTTTAGTATCATTGTCAACATGATTCATATAATTTTGTAGTATTGGACACAGCAGGCCAAGAAGAATTTAGTGCAATGCGTGAACAGTACATGAGAAGTGGCGAAGGCTTTCTACTAGTATTTTCAGTAACAGACCATTCATCTTTTGATGAAATGCTAAAATTCCATAAGCAGATTCTAAGAGTAAAGGACCGTGATGAATTTCCAATGCTCATGGTTGGAAACAAAGCAGATTTGGATCAGCAAAAAATTGTATGTATACAAACTATGATCAAGAGATATATATTACACAGTATAGTACAACTCTCTGCTTTTTTTTAGGTCTCTGTTGAGGAAGCACAAAATATGGCACGCCAATTAAAAATTCCTTATATAGAATGTAGTGCAAAATTAAGAATGAATGTTGACCAAGCTTTCCATGAATTAGTAAGAATTGTCAGGAAGTTTCAATTATCTGAAAGACCACCATTAAAACAAAATTACAAGAAAAACAAAAAGAAATGTTGCATGTTGTAATTACAATTACCGATGTGTTCATAATTAACAAAACGATATAACCGAATTAATTAAAATGAAAACATAGCTGCAAAATAAAAAAAAAACGATTTTAATAACAGTTGGTGG